AGCAGGCAAAACAAAGAGTTTTACCATACCCAGTTGACAATATACAAAAAACATCATTTCCCTCAATAAATGCAGTCATAACAGTTGTTCTTTCTTTAAACTTGTATATCCAAAGATTTCCCCAGCTTTTTCGACAGCTGCTGTCACCTCCATAGACTCCCATTACAGACACGTGGAAACACGTGTTTTGCACACGTCATTCTACTCCTCCCATTCCACGTGACCAAATCATAAAAGTGTGGTATTCGTGTGGCTTCCACGGAACAGGGGCAGGTAAGTCAAAATACCAGACCCTTCCCCGCCGTCCACCCCAATGACTGTAGGCTGGGGAATGGTCTGGGCGGCGAGACTAACTTCATTTGTAAAGACTGATGCTGAGACTGATTTCTTAGTACTTTAGATCTAGTAACACTGTAGCAATAGTAATTCAGCAACATTTATGGTTACTTAAGTTGATATTTTGAGCAACTTGTCAGTTGCAAAAATAGAACTGATTTATAGATCTATTCTTAGCAACATGTTGATTACGAGATCAAAGTAACTAAAAATGTTGCTAGCAAGGACTATAGTAACACTGCTCAATGAGATCAAGGTCTGAGCAGGGCCCGGTCTGCGAGCTGCCTGCCGGCTCTTGGTTTCCAGGCCAAGTCTCCAGTCAGGCATCCTTTGAGCACAGAAAAGCCTTTTGGGCTGATAGGAAGTGTCTTGTTGTTAGTTGGATCAAGCTCACAAAGCCAGCGAGACTTTCAGACAAACTACAAGGATTGAACCTTAAAGATGATGCGCTCACGTGATCCAGTTTCCTATCCTGTTCCTGGTACATATCTATGGCTGTATCAACAAAGCAGCGCATCAAAGCGCTTTAAAAATTGTGCCAGTGTGAAAAGGCCTTAAGGGTATTGTTCTTCTTGTATTGACTATAGCAGATCTTGGCTCAAATGAAGCTGACATCTCAGTAAAGACCTCAAAACAGTCAATAATGGCAATCAAGTGAAAATAGTATCTCTTGAAACTAACTGGCACAGTTTCATACAACCTCTCTCTTTCAGACCATGCTATAAGTTGTCTTAACTCTCGATACACAATGTCAAGCCACCTATGAAATATTGGTGAAACTTTGTTTACATTGATGCCAGTACAATACGCAATATCCTGGTTAGTATAAGGCCTTATTTTAATTTTACTAAAGTCAGAAATATTTCATCCTTAATGGTGCATTTCTTGTCATGCTTTTTATTCACTTTTACTTTTAAAGTGAGAAAAGAGTTACGAAAACATCATAGAATGGAAGACCATGTAAAATTCTGTCATGTCACCATTCCTAAAAATGTAATCAGCTGAAAGATGATATGTCTTCACAGAGCCTGCCAACAAAATAATATCCTTTACTGTTTCTGAGTATGCACTTACAATTCTTGAGGCATAGTGTGAAGAATGTCACAAACATGCTTTTAAGGTGTCATTCTCTTTTTGAAGCTGGGCAATTTTTAGCTTTTAGCAATTCATTTTCTAACTGTAAGTCACATGCTTCTTCAGACAAGTCCTGAGCCACTCCATGTAATTCTTTATCAGCCTCATGATCAAAGGCATCTTCTGTAGCTGAACCATCAGAAAAAAATCTTTGTCATTAATCAACGGGCTGGATTCCTCATCTTCCTCTGTATCACCATTAATTTCAATAAACGGACTGGATTCCTCATCTTCCACTGTATCACCTTCATTACTCTCACTCAATGGATCAGTTGTCTTATCTCCTACTGCAATATCTTCCTGCAATTCTAGATTCTCATTTAGTTCCTCATCTCCCTCTACTTCCAATAACTTGTCTTCAACTGCTTCAGTGCTTACATCAACATCATAACAATCCTCAGCATTAAATTCCTTCTCCTTATCAAGCTGATCATTATGTATTATATCTATTCTTACTATATGTGTAATTTCTTCTTTGTGAATGTTTAACAGCACTTTCAAGGCAATTTAATGTAGATTGGGAGGCAGTGTATGCATCAGTGTAGGAAAACTTGCCAGTGCATAGTTCACTGCTAATGGATTCCTTGAGTACTTACATGATCATAAGATTGTTAAAATATGTTAATAATGTCTATTTACAATTGACAAAATGAGCACTACAGATTCTAGAGTGTGGAGATGGCTTCCAGTTCTTTCTGTTTAAAAGTGCCACCCAAGCTAGATTCTGGTCTTTATTCTTTGGAAACCTGAAGAAACTTACATTTGCTTTACCTCTAAAGTTATTACATCCCACAACAGAGCAGTATGAAGGCAG